TTCTCTAACTATATGATATTTTTCCTTCTAGTTTAGAGGAAAAGGACTAGAAGTTCTAGACTGTGAGGGTTTAAATTTTTGTCTAGCTTTTCAACTCAAAATCATTTCAGACTTATGAAAAACTTGCAAAAATAGTAGGAAGAATTCCCATATGCCCTTCACCTAGCTTCCCCAAATGTTAACATCTTGCAAAGTTATTAAAATCAGGAAATCAACATTAATAACAATTTTATTAACTAATCTGTAAACTTTGCCAGTTATCCCACTAATATACTTTTTCTAGGCTAGGAGCCAATCTGAGATCACACATTGCATTTAGTTGTGTGTATATGTGTGTGTTTAATTGTTAACTTTGGAAAAAAATATCAAACCTATCCAAAAAAGTTGCAAAAATAGTAGAACTAATTCTAGTATGCCCTTCCCTAGATGGATCAACTGTTAACAGCTTGCCACATGTGCGTTCAAGCTCTCTCTCTAATTGTTGTTTTTTTTTTTTTTTTTTTTACTGAAGCATTTCAGAATTAAGTTGCAGACATTGTGATCCTTTACCCTAAATATGTGAGTGAGGATTTTCTACGAACAAGGACATTCTTTTATCATAAGCATCTTATAATTATCCAATTGAGGAAATTTAACACTGTTACGGTACTATTAATCTCACATATGGTCCATATTCAAATTTCACCAATTGTCTCGTACTGTGCTTTATAGTAATTTTTTTCATGATCCAGAACTTAATCCAGAATCAAACTTTGCACTTAGTTGTCATGTCTCCTTCATTTCCCTTAATCTGGAATAGTTCTTCAGCCTTTCATTGTCTTTCATGCCAATGACGTTTTTGAAGAGTCCAGGCCAATTGTTTCATAGGATGGCCCTCAATTTGCATTTGTCTAGAACATTGTTTCTAAGTGTCGTCTGTGACTGGTGCTGGTCTACACCTTGGTGTCACCCAACAGTGAGGGGTCAACGTAGAAATTGAAATTACCTACACCTTTGGAAATAATTTTCTTTCTTTTGCTTTTTTTTTTTTTTTTTGCAGGGAAAGTTTCCCCCTGAGCTAACATCTGTTGCCAATCTTCTTCCCTCCCCCCCACCCAAAACCCCAGTAGATGGTTGTATATCCCAGTTGTAAGTCGTTCTAGTTCTTCTATGTGAGCCGCTGCCATAGCATGGCAACTGGCAGATGGGTGGTGTGGTCCTGCACCCGGGGAGTGAGCCCAGGACACCTAAGTGGTGAGCGCAGAACTTGAACCACTAGGCCATCAGGACCGGCTCCATTCTGTTTAATAATAAAAATTGAGGGCTTATATTTTTATGTCTTTTCATTTCATTTTTCTAGGAATTCATTTTTATTGTATTTTACAAAATACCAGTCCTCAATGGATTGGACGTTTTCTTTTAAAAGGGACCTTCGTCACAGCTACTTTGAGCAGCACTGGTCTAGATGAGCTTTTGGAGGCTGAGGGCTGTGCTTTATTCATCCCTGAATCCATTATGCCCAGACTGTACCTGGCAGATTTCAGTAAATGGCTCCCTGTGGGATGACTTGAAATGGACCATTCCTTTATTTGAGAAGCTTTTCTTATGCTGAGTCAAAATCTGTGTCTCCACAAATTCCAAGTGGGAACCTTACTTCTATCTTCAAAAACATCATATAACATGTCTACTCCTATACGTAGGTGTCAGCTTGTCAGAGGTTTAAAGACTGATAACCACGTCTTAAACCCCTAGTCTACCCCCAGCAAAACCAGCTCCATTCCTTTACCATTTACAGTGATTAGGATTATCTTCTGCTAAAAATGAGAACACCTCAAATAAGAGTGGCTTGTTGACTTTGTTTTCTATGTTCTACAAGTTCAGAGCTGTCATTCTAGGGCTTGTGGGGAAGTTTCACAAATCATGAGGGACCTGGCACCCCTCTATTTTGGTGTCCCATTGTCCTCAGTGTGTAGCTTCAGCACTGTGGTCCGGGATGTCTCCTACTGCTCTAGCTATTACACCTGCATGCCTGCCAGCAGAAGGAAGGGGTGAAAAAGAGCACACTCCTTCCTTTAAGGACATTTCCCAGGAATCACACAAAACACTTCCATTTACATTCCTTCGGTCAGAAATTGGTCAGATGGCCACAGTTAGCTCCAAGAGAGGCTTGGAAATGTAATCTTTTATTTTGGAGATCCTTCTGCTCAGGAAAAAATTGGTGGCTTTTTTAAGGAAGAAAAGGGAAAATAGATATTGGTTGACAAGTAGCAGTCTCTGCCATATTGTCCTTGTATCATGTTCTTGTATTTATGTCTCTTCTTCACTGTTCTGATTACTTGTTAGATGTTGTCATGAATTTAAATATGGTTCCAAATTGAATGTGACATTCCAAAAGCAAATTGGACATAATGTGTTTTATATAAATGACCTCAGTGTTAACCAGCCTTTAAGTACCATGTCTCAACACTATGCAGCAATAAAGGACATGCAAAGTCAGAGACTTCCCCTCATTTGTTTGAGAAGCATTTATGAAACTTCTGCTGTGTGCTTTGGAGTTGAATGAAAGATTGGCAAAAGTATTAGAAGATATGTTTTCTTGTGTGTTTACAGGAATTAAATAGATATGAAATTGGTAAAAATGACAACGCAAGTATATGTAGGGGAGGAAGACATTTCCTCTACCCTCTGTGGGTTCTTCTGGCCAGTTATTGAATTAAATTCACATGAGACAGAATAACAGGAGAAAATTAAACAAAGCTTTATAACATGAATACATGGGAGAGGCTCAGGCAAACTGAGCAACTCACCAAAATGGCTGAAGTCACCACCTTAAATATCATCTTCAGCTAAAGATAAAGGAGGATGTTCGGGGTGGGGGGAGTCAGTTACAGGAGGTTACCAGACAAGCACAGTAAACAGGAGTAAGATTATTATGCAGATTTAAGTCCTTGCCTTCCACATTGATTAAGAGTTTCTAGAGATATGATCATCCCCCCTTCTTCCTGGTACAGAGAGGGAGACACCTTTACAGATGGGGATTTCCCTTACAAATGTAAATGTCTCTTAACAAAGGATAAGTAAGTTCTACTTTTCAGTTTCTTTCCTGTCTGCAGTTTTTACAAGTAACCAGCCCAAAATAATCCTCATGCCAAAGAGACATATCTTGGGGTGGCCAATGACAGTCCCCCACATATACAAGGTTAACATTTTTGATTTCTCTTTAAATGCTAATAAAATATAAATGGTGAAACCTGCCGATATTACTCGTTTACTTTTTTTTGGTAATTTCTCTAATTTTCTGCAGGGTGATATGTGTGTGTCACAACTTTGTGAATCACCATTCTGGGCAAGTATAGGGATTCATCATATATTTCCATTGGGGACGTTATTTAGTGACGTCAGTACTAGCAGAATGGTAAGGATCCTTGGAGGAGGCAGCTGTTGAGAAGAGGTGTAATTTAGGATTTTAGAATTCTGTAGCTAGACCTAACCTTGCAGGTCTCTACTTGTTAAAACTGTGGCTCAGGGGCCAGGCCGGTGGCACAGAGGTCAAGTTTGCACGTTCCGATTCGGCAGCCTGGGGTTCACCAGTTTGGATCCCGGGTGCGGACATGGCACCGCTTAGCAAAAGCCATGCTGTGGTAGGCGTCCCACGTATAAAGTAGAGGAAGATGGGCATGGATGTTAGCTCAGGGCCAGTCTTCCTCAGCAAAAAAGGAGGATTGGCAGTAGTTAGTTCAGGGCTAATCTTCCTCAAAAAAAAAACAAAAACAAAAACAAAAAAACTGTGGCTCAGAAACTGCCTTCTTGAAGGCCTCTCAGCTACATGGTGTCAATGTGGGCACCCTGCTCATCTCCCAGGTCTATCCTCTTTTCACTATGCATTCTGTTTGTCCTGCAATAAGTGAGAATGTCAATATTTGCTTAGTTACTGACAGTACCACTAACTCTAAATTCACTATGCCAATAAGACTACTCTGTTGGGGAGTTGATCCACATGGTCTGACTCTGTAATTCTTACAACAGCCCTGCAAGGAATTTTACTATCTCAATTTTAGAGAAGTGGAAACTGAGGCTGGGGGTGTGAGGTAACTTGCCCACTGTGCCACAACCAGCAGATGGCATAGCTGGCATTGGACTCCAGGGCTGCCTTTGTTTTTCCGTAGGTTACACTCCTTTTAAGGATGTGAGGGGAAAAAAATTAAATAGGCTCAATGAGACTACTGGGATGCAGGATGCTAAGGAAATAGGTGTGTGCATTTATAATAATAGCAAGGCCACGCGTGTTCTGAACTTTGCAGTTAAATTGATTCTAAAACTGGTCTGGAGGTGGTAAAACAATGACCACTGAATGAGCATTTTAGGCTTTGCTTGACAAGGGAGGTCACAAGCTACTTTTTGGTTAGTGAGAGGATGTGAAATCAAAGGCTGCCTTCAGACGTTTCACTGAAGCGTCTTGGAGATACAAACTTGCCTTTCGGTTTAGGTAAGGTAAGTTTTTTTTTTTTTTTTAAAAAGTAATATTTAGGGGCTGGCCCCGTGGCCGAGTGGTTAAGTCTGTGCGCTCAGCTGCAGGCGGCCCAGTGTTTCGTTGGTTCGAATCCTGGGCACGGACATGGCACTGCTCATCAAACCACGCTGAGGCAGCGTCCCACATGCTACAACTAGAAGGACCCACAACGAAGAATATACAACTATGTACTGGGGGGCTTTGGGGAGAAAAAGGAAAAAAATAAAAAAAAATCTAAAAAAAAAAAAGTAATATTTAATCTGTCGATGCTAAGAACAGTCACGCACAAGGCCGACGCTGTGCTCCTGCGTTGCACTCATTAAACACCCGTTATCCTCATTAGAACAGCGCCTCGGGTCAACCGGATGCTGGCTCACAGTTTGCTAAGTGAATCGCGAGGCTGCCCCGTATTGCGAGCCCAGCCCCGCCCGGCCAGCGCGGAGGCTAGGTCAGCTGGCAGCGGTCCCTGGCCGCCCGGGAGGGCGGGGTTCCCCGGTCGGGTGACAGTGCCACCTGACTAGTCCCATCCTCTCCCCGGCCCCGCCGCTGCCGAACGCGGCGGCAAATTTCTCGTGACGAGTTTTCAGCTCTGTGAAACGACTCCGCAGGGATTGCAGGGGGGCGCGAGGGGTGATACCCTCTGCGTACCAGCGGGGCCACCGCACAGGAGTGTTCCTTTCCCCTGCTCCATCTTAAGATCTGAACTTCGAGGAGAGACCCGCTGGGCGGCGGCCTCGAGGCGGATCTAGGCCCGGGCAGGTCCCCAAACCTCGCCGGGCGGGGGCCGTGGAGGAGGAAGCAGTCGGCCGCGGCGATCGGGCCCTCATGCGGACGCTGTGGGTTCTGGCCGCGTTCCTGGGGCTCACGCTGCGCCCCGCAGGTAGGACCGCGGGCAGGGCTGGGGAGGGGCAGCTGCCGGAGGTCGGCACCCGCCCGCGGCTGTACTTTCAAGAATCCGAGTGATCACTCCGAGTGATGCGGGGTCGGTGAGCCGAGGAGTCGAAAGAAAGATTTCTTAGACTCTTAAGATCTGGCAGTAGTGCTCTTTTATTTAAAGAATAGAATAGCATGGGGACAGGACCCATGGGCAGACAGGCTGCTGCGTGGGGACAGGGCCCAGGGGCAGGAGGAGCCGCTGCCGGCATATTGCTGCTGCCGCTTCTGCTGCCTCTGCTGCTTCTACTGCTGCAAAGTTGGGTGGAGAGTAAGGCTAAATTTAAGGCATAGGTGTGTGAGTTATCTCTTTACAAGACAAAGGAATATGTAAAAAAGTTAAAATGGTGTCAGTGCCGGTAGGGTCCGACCATTTGGCGGTCCCACAAATTTTAGATAAGAATCAAACCGGATTGAGTAAATGGCAGAAGTCACCGCTTGAATTTTATCCTCAGCTAAAGACAAAGGAGGATTTCGGGGCGGGGGGGGTGGGGGGGGGGGCGTCAGTCACATGAGGTTGGCACACAGCAACCAACTTAAATTCTTGCTTACTGATGCATCAGTTATGTGTTGATGCCTGCTGTGTGCAGAACCGGCACTTGTAGGACTTGAGAACCAGCGCTGCCTGTGCCTTTGTGCGGAGCGCTCCACATTCAGCGCTTCCAGCGGTGCTGAGAAGAAAAGTGGGGAGAGGGTGAAATGAGTATACGCCGCTTGGTACCAGTGAGGCCTCTGAGTGTGAGGGGAGGGTTTTTACCTCGTGGGGACAGTCAGACGTTCCCTTGCATGTCTTTGGGGACCACTGATGGACGCTTCTGTCTAATTATAGAAGAGGGAAACGCATTTGAAGAGAGATTTCAATTCATTACTAACCATGGTGATGCGGGCTCGGCGAGCTGAGTCATCGAAAGAAAGATTTCTTGGATTCTCAGAGTCTGGCCATAGTGCTCTTTTATTTAGAGAATAGTATGGAATAGCATGGGGACAGGAACCATGGGCAGGAAGAGCTGCCAGCGGGGTGTGGGGACAGGAGTGGGCAGGAAGAGCTGCAGGCATGAGGACAGGACCCATGGGCAATAAAGAGCTGCTGTAAACATAGGTTGAGGGTAGGGCTAAATTTAAGGCATAGGTATGTGAATTATCTCTTTACAAGACAAAGGAAAGAATATGTAAAAAAAAAAGTCATTAAATGGTATAGTGCAGGTGGGGTCTGGTTATTGGGTGGTCTTATAACTTTAGATAAGAATCAGATTGGATTAAGTCAGGATGTCCTATGCTTCCCCATTAAGACTTTCCAGAGATAAGGTCATCCCCCCTTCCTCCTGGTGCAGAGAGGGAGACACCCCCACAGATGGAGACTTTCTTCACAAATGCAAATGTCTCTCATCAAAGGGCAAGCGAATTCTACTCCTCAGAGCCTCCTTCCTGTGTGCAGTTTTTAAAAGTAACCAGCCCAAAATAATCTTCATCAATAGCATAGAAGTTAAAACGGTTTTAAGATACCACTGGACACTTAGTAGACTGGCCAGAATAGGCTGGGCTGTGCCAAGTGATGGTGGTGGGATATGTGGGAATCTAGGAGACCATCTGGCTGTCCTTCAGTGGGGCTGTCGATGAGCCAAATGTGAGTGCTCACCATGGAGAACTTGGCAGCAACTTCAAGCCAAGGACTAGCTGTACATATAGCAGTGTGGAAATATCTTGAAGGCATAGTGCCAAGAGAGAAACAATGGCATAAACTCAATACCATTTCCAGAAGTTTGAGAAATAAAATAAGACACAGTTAAAAAAAAAATAGACATTAAACATCTTAGAATGATAGGGGGGGGCAATGGAAATAAAAAAGAATAATATTTCTATAGGCTTGCAGTGAGCAATCTGAAAATAAAATGAAGAAAACAATTTCATTTACAGTACCATCAAAAAGAATAAAATACTTAGGAATAAATTTAACAAAAGAAGCATGAAACATATTCTGAAAGCTATAAAATATAAAACCATTGTTGTAAGAAATTTAAGAAGATCTAAATAAATGAAAAATCTTGTCTTAATCTTCTTGGGCTGCGAGTGGTTTAAACAATTGAAATTTATTTCTCCCAATTCTGGAGCCTGAGAGGCCCAAGATCGAGGTGCTGGCTGCTTTGGTTCCTTGTGAGGGCCCTCTTTCTACCTTGTGGATGGACACTTGCTATATCATCAGGTGTGGAGAGAGAGAGAACATTTCTCTCCTCTCTCTCAGTCTCTTATAAGAGCACTAATCCCATTCATAAGGGCTCCACCCTCATCACCTAATTACCTCCCAAAGACCCCACTTCCTAATACCATCCCATTGGAGATAAGGCCTCAACATAATGAATTTTGGGGGGGGGGGGTTGGGGGGTTGGGTTGCATAGCACGTCCCAAAAACATCTTCATGGATTTGAAGACCATGTTGTTAAGACGGCAGTACTCCCCAAACTGATGTACAGATTCAATGTAATTCCTATTAGAATCTCAGCTGACTTCTTTTTTTTGTTGGGGGGGGGGAAGATCAGCTCTGAGCTAACTGCTGCCAATCCTCCTCTTTTTGCTGAGGAAGGCTGGACCTGAGCTAACATCCGTGTCCATCTTCCTGTCGACGAAAATAATCCATAACCAATCTATAAATGAAAATTTGGGTCAGTTTATTCTGACCTCAAATCTGAGGACCATGGCCCGGGGCCTTTCTTCCCGAAGGAAGAAAGGGCACCAAGGAAGTGAGGTATACAGAGTGGTTATATACCCCCATACAGGATGTTTCACATATGAGTGAAATGTCCCTCCCACAATAGTCACAAGATTGCCCTGTCGTCACAGCGCTTGATGGACACAGCAGGTAGTGGGTCTGCTATCTTGGCGGCGTAGCAGGAGGCAAGCCTATTGTCTTGAGTTGGGTGGTCACAAGTGAGCCCAGCAATCAGTTTCTAGCCTAAGGAAAGATGCTTAATCCTTAAGAGAATGCCAATAGTTGGGAGGGGGAGGGAAGTTGCACCTTTATCTCAAAGGCCTTTGTTCTTGCCATAGGGAATATCTAAAGCAGATATACAATGCATGCTCAACGGCCTCGGTCAGGCCCTTTTGGAAAGACAAGGTCAGACCGAATTAGGTTTATACCAAATGGCTTCCTCATATTCTCCAATATATGCTATTGCTTGCCATTTTTATTTGTCATTCCTCTACTTTATACGTGGGATGCCTACCACAGCGTGGCTTTTGCCAGGCAGTGCCATGTCCACACCCTGAATCTGAACCGGCGAGCCCTGGGCGCCCGAAGCAGAACTTGTGAACTTAACTGCTGCGCCACTTGGTTGGCCCCTCAGCTGACTTCTTTGTAGAAATTGATGAACCAATTCTAAAATTCCTATGAAGTGGCAAAGGACCCAGAATAGCCAGAACAATCTTGAAAAAGAACAAAGTTAGAGGATCTTATGTGGATTAATGAAGGACTATGAATTCAGGGCCTCTGTACCTAAGCCATCTCCACCCTCCCCCAAAAAAGGAATTTGTTTCCAATTACATGGTAGTGTATGAGAGTACCAGGACTGTGTTTTTTCCAAGGGTCTCCCTTAACTGAAGCCTCTTGTTGCCACAGATTTCCTGGAAGTAGAGATGGCACAGGGGACTCAGAAAGTGTTCCTGAATGACAACACCACCATCGTTTGCAAGGTCCCTGGTTCCCCATACCTGGACGTCAAGATTATGGGTATCACCTGGTTTTGGAAGAATCAGGTGTCTAAAGAAGAGTCCAAGCTGTTTGAGTTTTTCGGACACCACCAAAAGGCATTGCGACCTGGAGCCACTGTGTCTCTACAAAGGCTGAAGAGGGGAGACGCCTCACTGCAGCTGCCTGCGGTCCAGTTGCATGAGGCAGGAGAGTACCGATGTGAGCTGGTCGTCACCCCTGAGAAGGCACAGGGAAGAGTCTGGCTAGAGGTTTTGGGTGAGTGCCTGAGGGCCGTGCCCTGTGGTTCCCATGGTGCTGAGGCTTGGGGTGGAGATGTGAGTGGGCCGAGTGGAGCAGAGGTTTAAAGCATGGGCCTAGGAGTCAGACAGACATGAGTTTGAGTCCTGGTCTTCTATGGACAACTGGAAAACTTTGGGCAGGTTATTAATCATGCTGGCCTTAATGCCTCCCCTCTAAAGAAATGTAATAGCACCTACCTTAGAGATTCCTTGTAGGGAAGAGTACGAAAAATGCAGGTAAGATGCTTAGCATAGGGCTTGGCCCATTGTAAGTGGTTGTTAAAGATAACCATAATAATTATGATATAACACACCTAGCGTGTGGGCATCAGTGTTCACTGAAGAGGTGCCCCTGAAGGGTAGCAGGAAAAGGAGAGAGATGCTGCACTCTGGCTCCAGAGCTGAATCTTGTTCCAGCTTTGCTGCTTCCAAACTGGGTGACGGGGCCAGTCGTTTAACATCTCTGGACCTGAAGTTTCCCCTGTACAAAATGGGGCAATGAGTCATACCTGCCTCATAGCGTTCTGGGGATTACAGAAGATGATGTATGAAAATACTCAGCGAGTGCTGCTGTGAGGGAGGTGTTCAGTCAAGACTTATAACGACAACAATATCCCCTAAGCACCTCTCTGAGCTCCACTCTATTATAAATAGGTCTGATAATATATGAATTTGCTTGGGGAGTGTATTAGTTTGCTGGGACTGTCATAACGAAAGACACCTGACTGGGTGGTTTAAAGAACAGATGTTTTACACATATTAATTTTGGGGATAGGAATGTATATTAACTGGGATTCATTTCCTCTGCAACTGACAGAAAGCCTAAAATAAAAATTAAAAAGAATTAATAGACTTTGTTTTTTAGAACAGTTTTGGATTTGCAGAAAACTTGCAAAGATAACAGAGTTTCCATATTATTTCCAGCTCCACACGCCATTTTCCCTATTATTAACATCTTAGGTTCGTATGGTATATTTGTTATAATTAATGAACCAATGTTGATTATTTATTAATAATTAAAGTCCATAGTTTATACAGATTTCCGTAGTTTTTACCTGACATCCTTGATAATTTTCCTTGTTCTGAAGGCCGCTTTGAAATTCATATACATAGCTACTCCTGCTTTCTTTGGATTAGTGTTAGTGTAATGTATCTTTCTCAATCTCTTTATCTTTAACCTCTCTGGCTCTTCATATTTAAAGTGGGTTTCCTATAGAAAAATGCATATTTGAAGTCTTTTTTTGGTTTCAACTGAACATTTTGTATGATTATACTTTCTCTCCTCTCTTTGTATATTGATATATACTTCTTTAAATTTTTTTTTTTAGTGGTGGCCCTAGAGTTTTCAGTGTACATTTGCAACTAATCTAGGCCCGCTTTCACATAACACTGTACTGCTGCATGGTAGGGCAGGCACTTTATAACAGAGTATTCCCTGATCTTCCCTCCCATCTCTTGTAACATTACTGTCATTCATTTCACTTATCCATATGCTATAACCACCCAATACCTTGTTGCTATTATTATTTTGAGTGAACAATTATCTGTTAGATCTATTAAGCATAAGAAAATAAATGTTTGATTTGACCTTCATTTACTCCTCTGACATGCTTCCTTTCTTTATGTAGATTCTAATTTCAGACCTATATCATTTTCTTTCTCTCTGAAGAACTTCGTTTAATATCTTGCAAGGTAAGACTACTGGTGACAAATTCCCTTAGTTTTTGTTTGGTCTGTGAAAGTCTTTATACTTCACTTTTTTTTGTGTGTGTGTGTGAGGAAGATTGTCACTGAGCTAACATCTGTGCCAGTCTTCCTCTATTTTATGTGGGATGCTGCCACAGCATGGCTTGATGAGTGGTGCTAGGTCGGTGCCCGGGATCTGAACCTGCGAACCCTGGGCCCACCAGAGCAGAGCATGGGAACTTAACTACTGTGCCACCAGGCCGGCCCCTATACTTCAGTTTTGAAGGATAAGTTTTCTGGATATAGGATTCTAGACTGGTGGGTTTCTTTCTTTCAGCACTATTTTATTCCACTCTCTTATTTGCATTTCAGAAGTCCATTGTCATTCTTTTCCTTGTTCCTCTATAGCTAAGTTATTTTTTTCCTTTGGCTTCTTTCAAGATTTTCTCTGTCTTTGTTTTTCTGCATTTTGAATATGATATGCCTTGGTATAGATTTTTCGGGTATTTTTCTGCTTAGTGTTCTCTAAGGTTCCTGGATCTGTGCTTTGGTGTCTGTCACTAATTTCAGAAAGTTCTCAGCCATTATTTTTCAAAATATTTCTTCTGCTCGTTTTTCTTTTCTTGTTCTGGTATTCCCATGATATGTATGTTACTCTTTTTGCAGCTGTCCCACAGTTCTTGGATATTCTGGTTCCCCCCCCCCCCCCCCATTCTTTTTCCTCTTTGCATTTCAGTTTGGGAAGTTTTTATTGACCTCTTTAAACTAGCTAATTCTTTCCTTGGGAATGTTAAGTCTGCTGAGGAGCTCATCAAAGGCATTCTTCATTTCTTTTATAGTGTTTTTTTTTTTTTAAAGGAATAATCCCTCTCCTTTTTTTTATTTAGGAAGATTGGCCCTGAGCTAACATCTGTTGCCAATCTTCCTCTTTTTTTTTTTCCCCTCCCCAAAGCCCCAGCACATAGTTGTATATCTTAGTTATACATCATTCTAGTTCTGTTATGTGGGACGCTTGCCTCCGCGTGGCTTGATGAACGTTCCTAGGTCTGCGCTCAGGATCTGAACTGTCGAACCCCAGGCCGCCGAAGCAGAGTCAGAACGTAACCACTATGTCACTGGGCTGGCCCCTATAGTATTTTCGATTTCTAGCATTTCCTTTTGATTCTTTCTTAGAGTTTCCATCTCTCTGCTTACATTATTCATCTGTTCTTGCATGTTGTCTGCTTTTTCCATTAGTGCTTTTAACATTTAAATCATAGCTCTTTTAAGTTCCCTTTCTGATAATTCCGAAATCTGTGTCATGCCTGAGTCTGCTTCTCATGCATGCTTTGTCTTTTCATGCTTTCTGCATGCCTTACAATTTTTTGTTGAAAGCCAGCTATTATATCAGGTAATAGGAACTGAGGTAAATAGGCTTTTCATGTGAGATTCTATGTTAATTTGGCTAGGAGCTGGGCTGTGTTTAATGTTAACGCTGTAGCGGTAGGAGCCAGAGACTTCTGTTTCCTCTAGTGTCTTTTTTTCCCCTTCCCTGTTTTCTGAGTTTCCCTATGAACTCCTTCTTAAATAGAGTCCACGTGTTACAGCTGTCTCAGCTGTACTCTACTCTTATTATGCTGGAACCCTGCTGTTGTGGTTGGGAGGGGAAGAAGTTTATAATCTTATGATTAAATCTCATTCTTTGAGTGGCCTGAACCCCTAGGCTGTGACCTTCAGAAGCATCCTAGGTGGGACAGGAAGGTTAAAGGGGGCTGGAGTTGTCTAATCATCCTTCTCCCAGGTCAGAGAAGGCTTTGTTATGGAGAATACACTGGGTATATTTTTAAATGGTTACTTTTTCTTTCCCCCCTGCCCAAAACAGGAGGGGATTTTTCTTGAATCTTCACTGTGAGAACCTGGTGGGGTTCCTGGAGGTAAAACCATTAAAATGTGGTTGCCCGCCTAAGACTGTGCCCCCAGGAGATTTTTTACTGTCAAGGCAGTCCACACTCATCCTTCAGCAACTCGTCAGAGTTACTGCTTAAGTGCTTCTACCAGGTTATGGCTCTAGCAGTTTTGGCTTAAGGTGACGTGATCTCGACCATGATTCTCTCCGCCTGCCTGTCTCTAGTTTCCAGGGTGGCAGTTTGGCCTGCCACCACAGTTCTCTGAGGGTTCTAAGAAAAGCTGCTTTTCACTTTGTTCAGCTCACCTTTTTTTTCTTGTTATGAGGATAGGAGTGATGACTTCCAAAGTCTTTGTATGTCAGAGGGGAAACCAGAAACCAACAGTGGCTTTTAAAATGGTAGTTTATTTTTCTTTCACACAAATGTAGCCAACCCGGCGCAGATACGGCAGTTCTGTGATCATCTGGGATCCAGGACCCTTTGATCTTGTCACTTTGCCATCCTCAGCTTGTAGCTTCCACCTTATGTTTGGAAATGTCTTCTCCATCTCTAGCGGTCGCAGGGTCTTCCAGCTGTTCTGTAGGAAGGAGGAAGAGTAGAGGGAGAGAAGGGCGCGGTCCTTTTGTTTATGATACCCTTATTATCTAAAGATACTTCCTGGAAGTTGCTTTTGCCACTTCTGATTACATCCAAACTACTAGAGACCCTGTGTTCTCATGGCTACACCCAGCAGCAGTGGAGGTTGGGAGATGTAGCTGTAACTTGGATGTGTCATTGAAGAATGGAAATTGGCAGCATTAGCAGTCTGTACACAACATTGTTCCAAGGCTTTCCTCAGAATCTCAAAGGTGTCTATGACACAAAGTAACTTAAGAAACTTTGTTTTATAAATGGCTGTGGGAATCGGGGTCACAGCATATTAGCACCCTGCTGACATAGGGACCAAGATATCCAGAATATTTAGCCTAAGCAGAATCTTATTCAGTTCACTGAGCTTTCCTGAAGGCTGGCCATAGGTCAGATATTGGGCTGATTATAAGCTAGTCTCTACCTACCCTCAAGGCATGACTTCTCTCTCCTGGCAGCTTCCCCAGTCAGCAACCTGTCTCCGGAGCAAGCCATGGTGAAATCTAATGAAGGCAAAAATATTTCGTGTAGGTCAAGTTGGTTCTATCCAGAGAATATTAACATAACATGGAAAAAATGGACCCAGAAGGACCCCCAGTACCTGGAGGTTTCTGAGAGCATCATCACTGGTCCCACCATCAAGAATTCGGATGGTACGTTTAATGTCACTAGCTCCTTGATATTGAAGCCCTCTCCGGAAGATGGTATGATCATCTGCCAATGTGAGGTTCGACACATATCCATGGTCACCTCCCAGAGGTTCAACTCCACCCTGACTCTGACAGGTAAGCATCCTCCTGGACATTTTGTCTGCTCTTCACCTCGAGGGGGTATAACATAAAACTTTGGCTCCCAGGCAGTCTAGGGGAAGATGAGGGCCAATGGGGAAGGAGAGAAAGCTTGGTCTGGCCTAGCTCAGCCCCAAAGTCAGCAGTCCAGACTAGGTCCCTAAGCCAGGGCAGATGATCTAATAGGTGGAGAGTGTTGACAATAGTCCTCATGTGGAAACAGGGCTACTTGTTAGCTCATGGCAGTTTAAGTGATCTCGGTCGTCTGTATTCGTTGGAGTGGGAAGCTTGCCAGCCACTGGGACAAAGGGGACAGGATCATTTCCATGTCCCCTGAAGATAAGGGTTTGTCAGGGGCCAGGGTCCCAGCCCTGCCAGCAGCTCTTCCGGCCAGGCTCCAGGTCCACAGCAATCTGTTGGTTGGTAGAGACTGAATCAGCAGTTCTGTCTTATGGGTTGTGCCCTAGGTGTGGTGGCCATAGTGTTCCTGCTGATGCCCAGGACTTTCCCCAGGCACACTGGGTCCTTAGCTTAGGATGATGCAACTCACTCCAGAACCCCTCCTGCTAGTGGATTGGGGTTCATTGAGCTCATATCCTGGCTTCTGTGGTTATGGCTCTGATCCTGAGTGATCAAATGCATCTGCCTGGAGCTGAGGGGGGTAAGGAAGGCAGAGGCTGAGCACGGACTCTGGGAGATGTGGTCTGGGTGTGCCAGATGGGGCCTGGGATGGTCCTGGAGGGAGAGAGGAATTGTTCTTGGAAGTAATGGCTAGGGGTGTGTGCGGGTGGTGTGCATAGGGATTTGTGCAGGGTATGTGTGGGGCATGTGGAGTGTGAAATTGAGATATGCTTTGTGTATATGGTGTGAGGGGTTTTCCTGCTTGTCTTAGTCCATTTGGGATGCTCTAACAAATTGCCACAGACTGCGTAGTTTATAAACAACAGAACTTTATTTCTCACAGTTTGGGAGGCTGGAAGTCCGAGATCAGTGTGCCAGCATGGTTGGGTGAGGGCCCTCTTCCAAGCTGCAGACTTCTCCTTTGTATCCTCACATGGTGGAAGGGGTGAGGGAGCTCTCTCAGGCCTCTTTTATAAGGGCACTAATCCCATTCACGAGGGCTCCACCCTCATGACTTAATCGCCACCCAAAAGCCCCACCTCCTAGTACTATCACTTTGGACATTAGGATATCAGCATATGAATTCTGGGGGGAAACAGACATTTAAGCTATAGCAATATATACGTGATATGAGATGGTGTAGTAGTGTGGAAGCTTTGAACATTGTGTGGCACGTGTGTGTGGTGTTAATATGGTGGTGCATTTCTGGCAAGTGCTAAACACAGTGTTTGATGTGTGCAGGTGTGTGTGATAGGAATGGAGGATGCCACTACGTATGGGCAGAGGGTTGGTTGTTCTCTCTCTGACACGAAAAGTGACACACAACCACACAGATCCTAGCAGCAGCCGTGTGCTGTCTCTGGGCTTGCTCTTAACGTCCTCCTCCTCTTTTTCTCTGCAGAATCTGAGGACACAGCTCCTTGGAAGATCATTATTCTGCTTATTGTATTTGTCTTAGTTGGATGGGTGCGTTTATGTTACTGTTTTTAGAAAAGGTAAGGGCTCCAAGGCAGAGTTTAGCTCTGTGCTGTGGCATTGGCCCTGGGAGTTCAGGGGTCATGGCCATTGGATGGGGTTGGGGTGTTCTGGGGGTTGATGCTGGGGGATTCTAAGTGTAGCGTGTGGCTTTTTCTGATGCTGCATGGAGAAGAACTTTCTCATCTGATCTCTGTGTGGTGGCCTGTGACTCTGGGGAGATGCACTGGAGAGATCCTCTGCCTCTTCCTGATAATCATCTCACTGTGAATCAAACCTGACCTGAGTAGGTCAGATGAGGCCTTTCAGCCGTGTGCGGGTGGCACTTGTTCTCACACAGAGAAACCACACCTGGGAGAGGGGCAGTCTTTCCTCCCGGTGCTGAGATTCTGTTAACAGCTCAGTGGGATAACTTACCACCAGATTTCACTGGCTTCCCCAGCAATTTCTAACCCTTAGGTTCCCAAACCAAAACATCTTTCCAAACATGTTTATCCCTGACTATGGCCAAAATAGCAAATAAAACCACTCAAGCTGTAGAGGCCCGAAACCAGTAAAAACGTGTTGGTTAAAAGAAAATAGAATTGCCTCAGTTATTTATGGGCCTGCCAAGGCAGTAACTGTGCCATAGCTAAGACTGCTCATTATCAATGTTTTAGGGAAAGTAGAAGCATCACTTAATCAAGAAAAAAGGCTGTTTGTTTATCTAAAGTTGGCCAGCTGATTCATGGGACTTATTCTCCTGATTAGACCTGGGCCAATGAGAAAACTGGATATAAAGTAGTTTTCAAATGTTTCTTGTGATATTTGTGAATGTTCTCATTTTGCCTGCCTTCCTCAGTCTTCTAATATCCAGGTGCTGTCATGGTAAGCGGACAATTGGCAACGATACTCATTGAAAAAGACACTCAAGTTTCATCATCAGCCTGGATTCTGTGGTTTACCGATGGCTCCAATCCTTCACTCTTCTCTATGTCCATGTAACTTCACGGTGTTCTCCAATTTGGGACTGCCCCTTGGGGTCAACCTTGTGACTTGCTGCTTTGACCAACAGAAGGAGACAGGAGTGAGTTCCTGTCTCATGCCAGTTCCGAGGCCTCCAGAGGCCTTGTGTGTTTCCATGTGCTGTCTTTTGTGCTTCTAACGTTAGTGAAAGGACACATGCAGGCTGGCCTGCTGGAGGATGAGAGACACTGGAAGCTACAGCTAGTTGCTCTGGTGGAGGCCGGTCTAGATCAGATAACAGCCACCCAACTCCCAGACATGTGAGCAAATCTACCTGACATCATCAGCGCTGACAGAGCCAACTCTCAAATGTGTGAGAAATACTTATTTTTTTAAAGCCACTACATCTTAGGCTTTTTGCACAGCAAAAACTAACTGATGTAGCACCTCAGAAAGCTGAGTTTTGATCAAAACTTGTAATAACCATGGAGATGTGCTGCTGAGACCCCCTCTAGAGAGAGCCTGCTAGGAAGGGCGTGCTCGGTCAGCATGCTCCAGCTGCGCTACCTCAGCGACCTGCTGCAGTATTTAAGCTTATGCCATGCTCCCCCCGGCGCTCCAGCCAGGGGCTGAACAAGGCAGGAGTCTCTGGAGCTCCCTGTGGGGGTGGCCGAGACTTTCTCAGGGTTGCACTGTAGCCTTACTACTCGATCCTACCCCCTCTCTCCCTTCACAGGTATCAGACCTGCAACATGCTCTGGAGGTCTTTCCGCCTGTTCCTGTACCCTCTCCCCTTTATCTTTCACACACTTTACGCCCAATAACTCTCTTGTACTTCTAATTCTGTCTGGAAAGCTGCTTCTCTGAAGACCCAAATTGACACAAGGAGGGACTGAAGAATTATAATGGGGTACTCTCACTATGGTGCATTCGCGGCTTATTCAGGTGGAGGAAACACTAATAGGACATTGGGAGTGGTTACACGGGGCCACACAGCAGAAACCACAAGCTTCCTCAGAATGTATAAGTATTACTTTTCCTGATGACCCAGACAGCTTGCTCGAAGCAGGCTGCTCAAGCTGCCCGCCTGGATAGCCTCTCGCCAATCAGCTTATCCAGGAAAAAGAAAGCAACATTTTCCAAAGAAGACATGCAGATGGCCAACAGGTGCATGAAATGGTGCTGAACATCACTGCTCTTCAGGGAAATGCGAATCAAAACCACAACAGATATTACCTCACACCTGTTAGAATGGCTATCATCAAAAAGACAAGAAATAACAAGTGTTGGTGAGGATGTGCAGAAAAGGGAACCTAGTGTGCTGTTGGTAGTGACAAATAAAAATGGCAAGTAATAGGATATATTGGAGTATATGAGGAAGCCATTTTGTCTAAACCTAATTTGGCCTGACCTTGTCTTTCCAAAAGGGTCTGACCGCCGCCTTGACCATGCATTGTATATCTGCTTTAGATATTCCCTATGGCAAGAGCAAAGGCCCTTGAGATAAAGGTGCAACTTCCCTCCCCCTCCCAATGCTGGCATTCCCTTAAGGATTAAGCATCTTTCCTTAGGCTAGGAACTGATTGCTGCACTCACCTGTGACCACCCAGCTCAAGACAATAGGTTTGCCTCCTGCTACGCCCACCGAGATAGCAGACCCACTACCTGCTGTGTCCATCAAGCGCTGCGCTGACAGGGCAATCTTGTGACTATTGTGGGAGGGACATTTCAATCATATGTGAAACAGCCTGTATGGGGGTATATAACGATTCTGTATACCTCACTTCCTTGGTGCCCTCTCTTCCTTCGGGAAGTCCTTGTAGGGACCTGAAATTGGCCACCCCAGGATATGTCTCTTTGGCATCGGGATTGTTTGGGGCTGATTGCTTTCGATAAACTGGGACAGGGAAGGAGGCTCTGGGGAATGGAACTTGCCCTTGTTGGGACACATTTACATTTGTAAGGTAAATCTCTATCTGTAAAAGGTGCCTCCCTCTCTGGACCAGGAAGTAGAAGAGAGATGACCTTTGATGCGGGGTCGGTGAGCTGAGGAGTCAAAAGAAAGATTTCTTAGACTCTTAAGATCTGGCAGTAGTGCTCTTTTATTTAGAGAATAGAATAGCATGGGGACAGGACCCATGGGCAGTCAGAGCTTCTGCTGCCGCCGCTTCTGCTGCCCCCGCTGGCATGGGGACAGGGCCCATGGGCAGGCAGAGCAGCTGCTGCTGCCCTGAGTTGAGGGTTAGGGCTAATTTTATAAGGCATGGGTACATGACTTATTTTTACTGGAAAAAGAAAAGATGATGTAAAAAGTCATTAAATGATTTCAGTGAGATGGGGTCTGGTTATTGTGCGGTCATATAACTTTAGATACGAATCTGGCCACATAGATCGGCATGTAGGTGAGGATGCCCTGGGCTTCTCTCCCTGGGGCAGTCCTAATTCATACCATAAAAAAAGTCCACTGGGTCATATAGTTTGGCATGTAGGCCAGGTCACCTTGGGCTTCTCTAGCTGGGGCAGCCTTAATCCACATCAACCTTGTCCCTAGAAACTCTTAATGGGGAAGGCAAGAACTTAAGTTGGTTGCTGTCTGGCAATCTCATGTAACTGATTTAGGGTGGTGGCTTCTGACCTTTACTTAATCTGATTTGATTCTTGTCTAAAAGTCATGGGATCACCCGATGACCAGACCCCACCTGCACTGATACCATTTTAACTTTTCTTTTCATGTTCTTTCCTTTGTCTTGTAAAGAGATAACTCACATACCCATGCCTTATAAAATTAGCCCTAACCCTCAACTTGGGGCAGCAGCAGCGGCTCTGCCTGCCCGTGGGCCCTGTCCCCACGCAGCAGCCTGACTGCCCATGGGTCCTGTCCCCATGCCGGCAGCAGCAGCTCTGACTGCCCGTGGGTCCTGTTCCCATGCTATTCCACACTATTCTCTAAATAAAAAAGCACTAGTGCCAGATCTTGAGAGTCCAAGAAATCTTTCTTTCGACTCCTCGGCTCACCTTCCCCGCATCAAGACCAGTCTATACACGCCAGTATATGAATAAAAGTATTCAGCTGTACTTTTAATTTAATATCTCTGAGTTATTCTTTGATAGAAGAGAAGTGACTCGCCCCGGTCTCATGGCTAGTAAAGAGTGGAGTTCAGATTCTTAATCAATATGCCATACCTCCAAGGAAGACCCAGGGAGGGGCAGGGCAGGGTTGGGCTGTGAAGGATGAGCCAGATCATTAGGTCTGGAGGAGAGGCTCACTCTGTATGGTTCTGGTCTGTTCTTGAGGGAGGACCTCTATGGTTGGTACGTTTGGCCCTTGTTTTGTTTTCTGTAACCAAACCAGGTGGCTGATGCTCATCCTAATTCGATGTAAGTATGGGCGCCTCATCCAGGACAGAGGTTGGCAGGGCTGTGGAGGGTCTCATGCCAGATGTTGGTCACAGGTCAGATACAGTGTGGTCCTGAGTGCAGTTTTCAGGGATGTGCAGTTCTATTTCAGGACCTTTGCAGGGCAGAGAAGCCCTGTTCCCATCTCTACTGGAGCTGGAGTAATGACTGAGAAACAGTTCTTAGGTGATTTTGGAGGGGCACAATGAGCACGGGGGGCATAATTGACATGGAAGTCTCTTGGCTTAGAGAGAGGAATAAAAGAGACTTCCCGTTGCTGAGCTCCCACCTGAGGGTGATTTAGAGTGGCCTCTACTGGCGGCACATGGGATTGCAGATGCGTTGGTGCCTGTTAGAAGAATGATACGATTGGAGGAGCTGATGAAATCTGAAAGTGCACAACTGAAGTCGGAACTGCAGGAGAAGGGAAGTAGTCCAAAGCTGCTGACAGTTTTTGAACGAGACAGACACCCTTTGGAAAAAAGTAGTAAGGCAGTTGACATTTTATAAATTTAGTAAAAGAAATTATAATAATTTTGTAAAGATAGTAATAGAGTAGTAAAGTAATATGAGGGAAAAAAAGAAAAGAAAATTAGACGGGGAAATCACAAATGGGATCTTTTTATAGGAAGATTAAAAAATTAGAAAGATGTAAAATGTGGGGGACTGTCGAACGGGCATAATTGATCGGAAAGGAATCTATGATGCAGAAAAAAGAAAAGGCATCAAGGAGTTACTGAGCTCAGAAATTGGTATGCTGGCCAGCCCTTGAGAGACCTGAAGAGAGGCACAAAAGAGGCAGAATTCGGGGAGGACTTTCATTCTTCTAAGATCGATGGGAAACTAAGGGCACAATAAGAATTTAACAAAAAACAATCAAAGTGTCGGTCAGAACTGTACTGCATTTACTTTTCTCTGGGTCACCTCGAGTAACTTCCTTCCCCACAAATAATGGCACTATGAGAAAAACTGGAATTGCTCAAATGAAGTCAAGAACACACGGAGGCACAGCTACCCCAAGTCTGGTTTGCTTCGCTTTGTCTGCTGTTGGTCTGCAGAGGAGGAGTGTGGGATGCATTGTGCTGCAAAGAATAACACCCTTTCATGAAGGGGCTGTGTATGACTAGCAGGAGCTGAAGAGAGCTGCTGGGTCCTGCTGACCTGACCTGTCCTCCTGTACACCACTGCTGCTCTCGAGGAAGGTGACAGATTGCATAGTTGCAAATGCTCTTTGTATCACCGTTCCCCTCATTGGCATCAGTGCCCGGAAGGACATGAGGTCAGGGGAAAGGCAGAAGTTCCCACTCCTGTGCCCAAGTTGGCCAGTCCAGGCGGCCTGCCGTTCACGTCACTCCAGAGGTGGGCCTGCCCAGACTGGAAATATAATAGGGTGTAAGTTGCACCTGCTTCCCTTTCCATGAAGATATACAATGCCCCAGGCAGGTGGACCTGGCAGAGATGAAGCCAATCACGTAGATTCTAGTGCAGCAAACCCACTCTCTGGAACCCAGTTCTTAGTTGAATCCTATTGTCCTGCCTTTCCCTGGCTCCTTGCAAGCCGAAACAAGTGTGTTGTTCTGCAGACCTACCCCAGTCTGGGTTCAACATGACTTTGACATGCAGAATTCATGTCTTCTTCAAACTCTTCTGCATGTCTTGGGACAAAATAAGGTGTCTGATACCTGGACCTGGGGAGCCCAGAGACCTGTGGGGGAGTCAGGCCACTCTACTCCTTACAGCAAGCTCTCTGGGAAAGTTCTGCCAAGGGAAAGATCACAAGGAGGCGCTCAAGTGCAGGCTGGAGCTGGAAGGAGGCCACCTGTGGAGGGTCAGTGGATCCTGCAGAAGCTGGGCGAGTCCTCCAGCAGAAAGGCCAGTGGGCCTTGCGGTCACTGGCCGAAGATGCCAAATCCATGGGCATTAGGCCTGGGCAGGTTTTCAGTAAGGCTAGTGGGCTAGTTTTTCCAGACTAGCAATTTAGTTTCACTACAGGAAGGAGGGTGGCTTCCCTCCCCTGTTGAGTTCAGCACTGAGGTCTAGGACACATATCACACTATTTGGTGTGAGCTGGGGACAGACCGGGGTGGCAGATATGCCCCATCAGGCTGCACTGCCATCTGATTGGCTGGGGGGAGGGTAGCCTGGAAGGTAGGGACCCCAGTCCTCCTGCAGGAAGGAGGGAGATGGAGGGTTCATCACGCACAGGGTTGAGAGAAAGTGTCAGTGAGGCCCCTCTGGCTCCCTGGATGTTTGGGACATAATCTCGGTTGTCACTTCCACAGCTGAGCCTGCTATCAGTCTCAAATCTGGGACCTCAGGGAGGCCCAGGGGTTTCCGAGTTATACTTTCCCTCTTGCTCTTGATCTAGAGTCAACTGTCTCGCTGTTGGTGGATGTGACACTTAGAGCAAGGTGGCACCCTGACTAAAAGCTGGAGCTCGGGCCACTGGCCCCGTGCAGCAGGGAGAAAGGAGCAGGGCTTTGGCACAAGACAGACTCAGGTCCAGATCCTCAGCCTGCCACGTCCTGGCTGTGAGATCTAGCAAGGTAACGTCGCTTCCTGCTTCCTCATCTCCAAACTCGGAGGAGAACAGTGCCTCCCTCAGCCCTGGACCACAGTGACACGAGGTACGTCCCTCCCCTCTCTGGGGGGCCCAGAGGAGAGCCGGTTTGGCACACAGGGTGAGGACTGGCTTGGACTATTCCGTCTGCTCTCATGTGATGCCAGTGCTGTCCTGGAGGCAGAATATCAGAAACAAAATTCTCAGAAGGTCCTGCGGGGCTGAGTGGAGCCCAGGGGAGCTTCCTTGTCCAGTTTAGGCCAGTGCCTTAAAGAGGGGGTGCCCCCGGATGGAGGGAGCACTATCAATGGGCAAAAACATCCAGGGGGTCCAGGAAGGCTTGGTCCAGCTGCTCCCTCCATGCCTGGAACTTTCCAGCTCCTCTCTGAGCTAAGCCTTAAGGAGTCTCAAAGAAGAAAGACTGCGACCAGCGGCCCTTGTTTTCTGAGATCAAGTAGGTCTTCTCTGTGACCAGAAGGTGGCGCTGAGCCCTCGGTTCTGCCAGTTCACTGTCACCAGCCCTTTAAGGTGGGTGCCGAAGTGGCTGAGGGTTACTCTTCCTGGCCCCTCAGCCCTGCCTCTGGAGTAGGGTGGGACAAACTCACTGATCCAGCCAAAGCCCTCTGCACTCCTCAAACTGCAGCAATAATCCTGGCTTCTTGTCCTGTACACTCTCCATCCTTCATTCGGCACTTAGCGCCAGGCACAGTGCTGAATCAGACACAGTCCCTGACCTCAAGGAGCCAAGGACTTGGGCATGGGGAGACAGACCCATAAACAGAGGCAAAAGTAGAATGCCCACAAACCCAGAGGAAGGGAAGGGACCATCTCTTTCCAGAGCAATCAGGTAAGGCTTCAAGGAGGCATCATTTGACCTGGACTTTTATGGATTTCAACAGGCAGAGATGAGGCCTGGGCAGTCCAGGCAAAGGGAATAACATAAGCAAAAGGTCGGAGGTAGGAAGGTCAGTGTTATATGCAAAGAGGGGATAGCACGGTTGCCAGGGGGATGGGTGGCCAGAGAACCGTCAGGCTGGAAAGCAGGCAAAGCCCGAAATGCCTGGCTATGACCCAGAAGGTCGTGGGGAACTACCGAAGGTACCTGACATGGGAGGGAATGACCGCAGCCCTTTTAATAAGACTGCTCTGGCGGCTGCACGGCAGATGGACTGTAGGACGTGAGATAGAGACAAGACCAGGTAACAGACCCTGCCACAGCCCGTCATCTGCTTCTGAGCTGGGCAGGGACATCGTGTAGAAAATAAGAACAGGCAGAGAAACTCAGCACCGAGGGGACACATAACAGCACCTTCTCTCTTAACATTCGCTTGGTCAGCTGTCTCACCGTGTGGCTGATTCAACAGCAATCATAACCGTTAACATTTATCAAGCCGTCATTATGGACGAGGCACTTAAGCATTTTGTATATGTTTTCCACTTACTCCCACAACAATTCCATGAGGTAGGTCCTATTAATATCCCCATTTTATAGAGGAGGCAACCGAGGCACAGAGGGTTACCTTACTTGACCAAGGTCTTAGAGCCAGAGCCAGGGTTTGAACCCAAGCAGTTGGCTTATGCTCCGATCACTACGCTAACACATAAGATGTCCCTGCCTTTCTCCTTGAGCACCCCAAACTTCCAGAAGATCCCCGGGGGTGGAGGCAGGACCCAGGGCTGTAAGCCTGGTGGATGCCCAAAGGTTAAGATGGCCAGACAGGCTGGCAGGGCTGGGCTACCCAAGGCATACGGGGAAAGTGTCTCTGAGCCAGGGGAAGAGGGCCAGCCTCAGGTCCTTTTCCTGGCCTCCCTGCTGGGGTCCATGGCATCTCTGGAATGTAGGCCGGCAGCCCCACCCTCCCTGTCCACCAGCACATCCCCAGCAAGAACAGCCCATAGTTCAGCTCATGAAGGGGGAGGCTTTATTGATAACAGAGACGAAGGCAGAATTCTGGGCAAGTACACACAGCACTGCTCCAAGAGTCCAGGCTTGGGGTCAGTCCCGTCAGGACCAAGGGCCTCTGTGCCTCAGGGACCTCGCTCACCCCCACCATCCTGAGCTTTCTAACATTGCCTTTTCTAGCAATCAAAGACCCTCCACAGCCAGCCTCTGGACAAAGTGAGTAGAAGCCACCCGTGGGGAGCCAGGATCAGAGTTTGGCCTGAGGTCCAGCAAGTGGTAGGCCCAAGACTTTCTCTCCTCAGCCTCTTTCTGTTTGGCACGCTGGTGTCTGCCCCAGCCCAGGCAGGGGTACAGAATGGAGCAGGCAGGCGCAGCACCCCCAGCCCGTGGAGCCCTCACTGTAGAAGCCTTGGTGTCAGGGGCAAGAGGCAGGGGGACAGGGGCCCCTCTCCGAGTCCCTGTGCCTGAGCAGTGCTCAGCAAAACTGAGGGTCCTCATGCCCCATTTCCTTTCTGCCTAAGCCTGCCCCATGGAGGAGAGTCCTGTCGGCCTCAGCCCGTGCCTGTCTGTGTAGGCTCCACACCTCCAACCCTCCAGCTGGAATGTGCTCCCTCAGTGACTGCCCTCCCCAGCTGGCCAGGCCCACCCTGAAGCCCATCACTTTTTCAGGGACCAAGGGTGGCTGTGGCCTGACCACAGGCATCTCTTGGGGCCATAGAAACAGAACAGCAGGCCCCCAACCTGGGGACCGTTCTTCCCCAGCCATCTGCCCAACTTCTGGCCAGTCTATCATGGGGGCTCAGGAGGGGCAGGAGACCCAGCTATAGGGCCGGACACTTCCCACAGCTTCCCTAGCCTTGGGATGTTTGGGGGGGGGGGTGCGGTGGAGGGGCAGGAACACCAACCAGTCCTGAGCTGGGGCTGGGAAGAGCAGGGACAAAAATAACCCAGTACAGGCTCCTGCCAAGGCCAGAAATAGCGTAGTGACAAGTGCCTTGTAACACCCTGGGTGAGCAGCAGAGGGGGAGGCTGAGCTGAGGAGGGCCCAGCCTCACACCAGGTCCTGGCCTCGCCGAGGGGCCCACACCACGTCCACACTACATACCATGTCACACTGCCCGTGTGCACACAAGCGGTGTGGGACCCCAGGGACCACATCTCAGGACAGGGAATCCGGAGAGATGCTAAACTTGGGCTTGGCCTTGGCCACAGCCACGCTGCGCTTGCGCAGGGGCCCACGGGCAGAAGCGAGGGTCAGGGCGTCCAGCAGGCTGTGGTCCTCATCAAGCTGGCGGGCTGTGCAGAGTGGTGTGGGCACTTTGATGGTGTTGCCAAACTTGGAGTAGTCCACAGAGTAGCGGCCGTCCTCCTCGGCCACAATGGGGACAAAGCGCTGGCCCCACAGGATCTCGTCAGCTAGGTAGGAGGTGCGGGCCTGGGTGGTGATGCCCGTGGTTTCCACCACGCCTTCCAGGATGACGATGATCTCAAGGTCCTGATGGTGGTGCAGGTCACTGGGCGCCAGGTCATAGAGTGGACTGTTGGCATCAATGGCGTGGTAGATGATGAGGGGAGCCACCAGGAAGATGCTGTTGCCACCCACGCCGTTCTCCATGGGGATTTCCACCTGGTGGAGGGGCACCACCTCGCCCTCGGGGCTGGTGGTCTTGCGCACCACCTGCATGCGGATGGTGGCACTGATGATCATGCTCTTTCGGAGGTCGCCCACACGCAGCATGAAGCAGAGGCGGCTGTGGCGCAAGGCGATGACTGCATGCTTGCTGAAGATGAGGGTCTCGGCCCGCCGGTGGGCCTGAGCAGTCTTCATGAAGATGCAGCCCAGCATGATGGCGTTGATCATGAGCCCCACGATGTTCTGCACAATGAGGATTAGGATGGCCAGCGGGCACTCCTCGGTCACCATGCGCCCGCCAAAACCAATGGTCACCTGGACCTCAATGGAGAAAAGGAAGGCGGATGAAAAGGAGTGGATGCTGGTGACACAGGGCACAGCGGAGCCCTCATCAGGGGCCAGGTCGCCGTGGGCAAAGGCGATGAGCCACCATGCCATGGCGAAGAGCAGCCAGCTGCACAGGAAGGACATGGTGAAGATGAGCAATGTGTGCGGCCACTTGAGGTCCACCAGCGTGGTGAACACGTCCTGCAGGAAGCGGCCCTGCTCCCGGATGTTCTTGTGGGCCACGTTGCAGTTGCCGTTCTTGGACACGAAGCGGGCCCTCCGCTCACGGGCACGGTACCGGGGTTCTGCAGGGTCCTCTGCTAGCCGTGTCAGCACATACTCCTCAGGGATGATGCCCTTGCGGGACAGCATGGCTCCAGCGACCACCAGGGAGAGGCTTCCCCCATGGGGGGTGCCCCCCGACCAAATCTAGGGCCTCACTGTGGGGTTCCCTCCCTGGGCACAATTCCACTCTGGGACCACCTCAGTCTGTGCTGGCCTCACTTCTGAGATGCCTCCCCAACTAGCCTCATCCTCACCACCACCTGGCCCCTGCTTCACTTCTTTACTCCAGCCTCACACCTCAGCCCACCTGCCCATTGCCTAGTGAGACCCCTACCTGTTTTCCACCCGGCCCTGGATCCCAGCTCAACTCTCCTCCACCGGCTGACCTCCCTGGGCGTCCCCCTAAGAACTCTTCTCCCCACCCAGCCTTCCTTCTCAACCCACCTCCCTCACCTCGGAACGTCCCACCTCTAGATCTTACCAACTGGCCAGACCTCACACAACCCCCACCGTGTCTCCCATCTCACCCATTTCTGCCCCCGGCCCCCCTGCCAGTCCCAGTTTCATATCCTGACCACCCTCAATCTCACCTCCAGGGATGCCCCCTTTCTCTTACCCCACCCCCGTAGCGCTCTCGCCGCTCTTCAAATCCCCCTCCAGCTCTCGTCCTTTCTGTCTCCTTGGGATCCTGTGCCCTCCAGAGCCACCACCCCACCCGGCTCAACTCCGGATCCCCTCGCCCCCGGCGCGACCCGGCGGGGCTCCCGCGGAGTCACGGCCTCCGGCCCCCAGCCGCCCGCCCGCCGGCGCCGCGCCCCCGCCCGCGCGCCGCCCGCCCCGCCCGCCGCCGCCGCGGCACCTGCTCCTGCTCCTCAAGCCGCAGCCGCCGCCTCCCCGCCCCCTCCTGCGCCCGGGCGCTCACGGCGGGCCACGCTCCGTCCGTCTGTCAGTCTGCTGGTCCGCAGGACCATGTGCTAGGTGGCGGTAGAAGATCGAGGGCGGGGGGCGCCCGAGGAGTAGAGTGGGGGCCGGGGCCGCCAGGGGGAGCCCGATCTGTTCCTGAGCGGAGAGGGGCGGGCGCGGGCGCTGGCTCCTCCCCTCGCCATTCACCTCCCCTCTGCCCTCCTCCTCCGGTCGCGCAGCCCGGCCTCGGGGGTTTGCCCAATCAGATGCACCAAAGAGGCTCCTCCCGCCTGCAGTCTATGAAATTAGGGCGGGGGGGAAGGCGTAGTGAAGGGAGTCGTGACCCGCCCTCCCAGTCTGGGGACCGCAGTCCCTGTCTCCTTCCCCAATTTTCTCATCCTCAGTGGGGTCAATATCCGCCTCTCGCGCAGCGCCAGGCTTTGCGGGTTCCCAGCGAAAGGAGACACTGAGGGGCGACGTCACCAGCCCGGTGACTGGGGGAGATTAGGTGGCCCGAGAACTTCTCAACTGACCGCTAAGAAGAAAGAGGTCTCTGGGGATGCTCATGGTCCCTTCCGAGTCATGGATCCTTTGAGAATCTGATGAAAGTCGCGGACTCTCTCCCCAGAGAAAAATGTACCTTCGTAGGTGTAGAAACACAGTTTACCGCCCACAGGGGATGGTAGGTGCTGCAGCCCGGAACCCTGGCTGGTTGCGTCTTCTCAATCGTGACCAGCCCCGACCCCACCTCTGTGTTGTAAAGAGGGTGTGAGCCACTGGCACTCGGTTTACACCTCCTTACGCCCGCAGCCCTATTTCTTCTACCTTAGGTAATGGGGCCACCTGGGTCTGAGGGGCTGTATTAGGGCTGGCTTGGGCACTGGGAGACTCAAGCCCTTGGCCTGGACATGAGTGGTGTTTCTACTGTAGGCATCAGCCTGGGGTTGCCCTGTGGCTTGGGCCCCAAGGCAGGCCCGCAGTTCTCAGCTAGGAGGGAAAGCCTTCTGAGTCTCTGTGGTTATGGCAGTAATGGCCCCACCTCCACTCTGGGGCTTAATCTTTATGGAGGAATCCTTGACCCATATGTGTCCATTTGTTGGAGGCAGGCTCGAGGCAGGGGCTGGAAAGATAGGGACAGTGGGGATATGGGCCACAGCGGAGCAGGGTGTGACTTCCATATTTTTTTCCTCTTTCTTTTCCATACCCACCTGCAGGCAGAGTAAACACTGCTACTCAGGGTAAGTGTGATCCTGGGCTATATTATCAGAGGTGCAGTGCCTAGGGTGGGGAGGGGAAAACAGGATGAGCAAAGTAGGGAGCTCAAGGAGACAGGGTTATGCAGGAAACCTCTGGGGCAACTACAGCTGTTCAGCCATGAGAAAAGGATCCCTGGAGAGCTCCCCAAGGGGTTTGGGCCCCATTGCAGAAACCCCTGGGGTCCAGGGAAGATGGACTCGTAGTTTTGTGTGACCCAAAGTATAGAACCAGTATAACTACTGAGTGGAACAGAGGTGGGCTTTGATTTCACATATGGAAGAGTCTCTAATAACCAGAGATGGCCCACATCCGTGGGGTATCTGAGTCAAGGTTGGCAGACCATCAGGGATGCTAGAGAGGGGTTTGGGCCAGAACGACCTTGGGCATCCTGAAAGACTGCTGTGTGGGCAGGCCCCCTGCCACTTCACTTCAATCCCTTGGGGTGTGGTGGGCATGGAGGGGTGGGCATTCTCTTCCCTCTCCCCAGGCTCTGCTCCTGGGAGACCCTACAAGGGAGGGAGCCAGTGGGCCCCTGGAGGCGTCTCAGTGCTGGAGAGGGCAGGCCCTGCCTCACCGTGTGGGCCTGAGGCCCCACCCTTTCCAGGAGGCTGAGCCCCTTACCTGGAGGGCTCAGCCTCCTGCTCTGCTCTATCCTGCACCTCCTCATACTCCTCTCCCCCAAACACTGCACTTGTCAGGCCCCTTTCTTGCTCAAAAACCTCCTCCACTTTTGTTCACTGGCTTATCCCAAACTCCTTGTCCTGGCATTCAGGGCTCTCTGTTCTTATTCCCACCTCCCCAACTCCACTTCCCACCAGCCCTTCCCCCGACCATGGGCTCTTTAACTCTCTGCCTATCCAATTCCTACTCCTCCTGCTCCACTCAAATCCTGCCTCTCCTAGGCGGCCTGCCAGGTCTTGCAGGGCTCTCACTTCCTGGGTTCCTCTGGCCCCAGGAACATCTAGAAGGATCTGTGCTGGGCCCCTCTCCAATGACTGGGGCATTTTCCTTATGTTGTACGGCTCTGACCCCTCACAGTCAAGAGAGATGCAGGCCCAAGACGCCTGGGTCTGCAACCCAGGGCCTGGTACAGCCAGTACTGAAGGCAACATGTAAATGATAATAAAATGATATGTAAATGAGCACCTGCCATTTCTTGGCTGAGGGCAGGTATGCACTCCTGTTTCATGATGTGGATGGAGTCTGAGGACAGCTGTTGCTTTGGTCTCCCTTCTGTCTGGGCTCTGGCATCTCCCAGCCACCACCTGGCTGACTTGTGGTATATACATTGTGCTTTCCCTCTGAAAGACCACCCTTCTCCCACTTCTGAATGCCCCTATTTGGGGACGGAGATGGGGACGTCTGATCCAGGCCTAGCCAGTCAGTGTATTCAGCCCTCTGACCACAGTGATTGGGTAGGGGTGGGGACGTGACCCAATTTAGTCCACTGAGATTTGCTCCCAATATTTTTGCTGGAACTATTGGGAGAGAGCGTCTTGTTTCAGAGGGGTAGGATATAAACTGGAGCTGCTAGTGGTCCTTGGTCATTGTGGGGGGAGAGGAAGATGGAACCCAGAAATGGAGACACATCCCTGATGTCAAGCACCTGGATCCAGCAATTCTTGAAGTCGTACACCTTCTAGCTTTCTCAGTCACACACAACAATAAATTCCATTTTTTGTTTAAGCCACTTGGAGATGGGTTCCTGTCGCTTGCAAGGGAAATAGTACTAATCCAGGGTGCTCAAGGCCCCACAACTTTAATCCAAGAATTCAAGTGAGAAGGAAGGAGCTCAAGCTATGGAGATCTGCTACCTTATCTGATGAGATAATCACAAAAATGCTATACCCTTGTTATAGCCCCCAAAATCATATTTTGAGGCCCTCAATTCGTATGTTGAAGCCCCCAACATGACTGTATTTGGAAATAGGTCCTGTGAAGAGGTAATTACGTTAAATGAGGTCATAGGAGTGGGGCCCTATTCCAGTACGACTGGTATCCTAATAAGAGGAGAGAGAGAGACACCAGGACTGTCTGTAAGCAAGGAGAGGGGCTGCAGGAGAAACCAAATCTGCGCCACCTTGATCTTGGACCTCCAGCCTCCAGAACTGTCAGAAATAAAGTTCCGTTGTTGAAGAGACCCAGTCTTTGGTATTTTGTTATGGCGGCCCTAGCAGGCTAATAGCATCCACATTTCACAGATAAAGAAACGCGCTTTGCCCACGCTCACACGGCGTCTGCGGTCTGCCTGATGCCAAAGTCAGGCTGGCTCTGCTGGACCACAAGGCTGGACCCAAGGCCTGTTAGGAAATAGCCAATCTCTTTATTTACAAGTGATTTACAGTTAGAAACCCCAGGTGGGAGGCGGGGGCAGTGTGGGGCTTGGGATGGCACATGGGCTCCGAAAAGTCATTTGTCTGCACGCACAAAGGAGGCGAAGATGCTGTCCTTGCGGCTGAGCAGCTTCTCTGGCTTATCGAACTCAAGGATGGCGCCACGTTTCAGGACGATCACCAGGTCTGCACTTAAGATGGTGTGCACACGGTGCTGGGGGGGCAGGAGGGGCTGGTGAGGGGGGTGGGGGACCAGGCAGGGCAGCTGAGGGCACCTGCAGCTTGGAGGAGGAGGCATGTGGCTGGAATGTCCTGTCTCTGTGATGACTGCCCTTTCCTGGGGTGGCTGTGACTCCACGCCCTCCATCCACTAATGACATGCTCTCGCCTCACTAAGTCTCAGCTCTGCCCTCACCTCTACACTTCAAGACTCAGGGATCCCCCATTCCCCCTTCCCCAACTTCCTGTGGAGAAGTAACCCTAGCCCAGCTCACAGGCCTTGGCACAGGGTGGGCCTTGGAAGCTGGAGAATGATGCAGAGCACCAAGGGAAGTGCAGGTGGAAATCTCCCCTCACCCCAAATCCTCCAGGCTCCCTGCAAGGCTTTGGGACTCCTGGCCCTGCACTGCTTTCTTCATTACCAGTCCCAGGTGAGCCCAGGGGATGCCCACTGATGACAGCGTCAGGAGACCAGCGCTCCTTCTGGGTGCCCCATCTCCCCCATCAGTGGGGCCCTTACCGCGATGGTA